GCAGCAGGACTGCATTGCAATTGTTTCTATTCACCCACTGGAAAAAAGGAAATCCAGTTCAATAAACATGTCCAGGGGTGTCCACAGGATATAGTAAAAAAAGTCAAAATGGCAGCCACAATGGTGTGATTGAAACACACCCTGACGGTACCCCTAAATGTGTACCTTGTTCTCTTTCTGCTTTCTCAGAGCAGTTTCAGGGAGGGCAAAGTGCCAGCTCATCTGCAACTAAATTTGAGTGAATAGTTCTACTCTTTTTTAAATTTAATGCTCTTTTTTTTTTTAAAGTATTTTCCCATCCTTCTTGAAGTACAAGGAATACCAATGCCTTGAATACTTTCTAGAAAGGATCTAAAAATATTATAGAGTTGAATAATCTGTTATCAAACATGTTCAAAATCCTATGATTTTAAATCCCCTGTCCCAATGAGCCACTCTTCAATGCAAAGCAAAAACAAAGTATTCTGTGCTAAAGTCTATAAATGCTGTCCTGAGGAAAGCTGGGTTCAGCAAATGGACCATTTTGCCCTCCACTCTAATTCTGGAACTGATGCTGCCGTTGAGGAAGGAAAGCAAGAAAAGTGACACATACTAATTTATTTGTCTCAGGAAGTGACAGCACCTAGTTGATATTTTTTGTCTGAGCTCAGAAATTAAGTAGGATTGGACTTGGGTAATACTCTGATGGGATATGTCCAAGAAATCCGAGGTGTGATATAATGGTGTGTGGGAATATCTTTGGGAGACAGAGGGAAGAGCTGCAGCCAAGGCAATGGATGGATAAGAAGCAGCTTAGCCCACAGCAGAAATTTGGGCATGGCAAATGTCTCAGAGGGGACCCTCCCTAGTCTCTTGGGCTGTAAAGCCAATAGGGGAGAAATGTACTTTCAGACTTGCAAGAGTAATGTCAGCCTTGCGAGGTAGTCCAGACAAGAAGCACACCCAGATGAACTAATTCTACTTTATTACATTACAATACATTACAATAAACAGAATCTTGTAAGTGTGAAAGAAGAATGGGGGTACCCCCTAAAGTTTCACTAAGCAGAAAAACAGCATGAAGATTGAATGCATCTTTCATTAGTACTGATTTGATGCAATCTTTTTTAATGTTTTTGTGGAAGTAATTAATTTTCGCTAAAGCTGCATGCACATGAAGGATAAAAGAATATGGGATGGTTAGAAATATAATTAACAGTCAACATATTCCAGATAGCTAGCCCCATATTTCCTCTTCTCCTAAATTGGATAGTAATGATTTAATATTATGTGCCAACTTTTTTTAAATTTGTGTCTTTTTTTCTGTACAAAGTACAAAAGTATAAAGGGATTGTTAATTAATAAATTCTTTTAATCTCAAGGATTTCAGTTGTCTGCAAACTATATGTCTTAGGGAAAGCTAACTTGCTTACCTTTGTCAAAGATTTAAATTGGACTCAAGGGTCTTCATTAAAATTGAGAGAACAAATTTAACAGTTTTCCTACACACAATTCCACACATCTTGTTTGAAATACCCAAATGTGTAATTGTTATTTCAGATGTGATGCAATGCAGGAGGAACTATTTTGGTTTACTTGAGACTAGACATTTTTTTCATTTTAGCTATGGGTAGTTTCTTCTAGAATACCATGCAAATCTTGGTCTTTGGAATCAGATTACTATAGTTGTAGGAACTGGGATACACTGAGGTCTATGTTCAGGATTTAAAGCTTATTGTGAATATCATCTGGGTTTTTCAAAAAGCTGCATAATTCTAAACCCATGTGGTCCTCTTTGTGGGGCTAATGTGTTTACTACGTGGCTCATACACTGAAAGTGTTTTCACTTCCAGTGATAGAACACATCACTTTTACTCATTAGATCTCTCTCTTTCCCTTCCAATGTATTTATTTAACTAGGCTTATGTGCCCCTCCAATCATACCTGACTCTGAGTAGTTTACAGACCTCCCAAAACACCGATAAAATTAAAATTGTAGCATAATAATCTAAACTAATCTAATCAGCTCCCAAAAGAGCTTTGGGCTACATCCACAGAGGTATAGCATTGTGATCACAGGAACCACTAGCTTTTCTCTTTGCTGAACTGGTCAAAAACACACCTGGAATATGGTGTTCAGTTCAGGTTGGCACAATACAAGAAGGATGATGAGGAACTGAAAAGAGGGCAGAGAAAAGCCATTGCGGACAGTGAGAAGGCTGGAGGCTAAATTTTATGAAGAATGTTGAAAGAACTGTGTATGTTTGCCTGAAAAAGAAAAGGCTAAGGGGATACATGATAGCAGCCTTCCAAACGTTGAAGGGCTGTCCCAGCATAGAGCGTGTAGATTTGTTGGTTGTACAGCAGTAGTGAAATTTGTCTTCAGGAGTCATGGATATTGCATTACTGGAGGTTTTCAAGCAAAGGTTGGACAGTCATTTGTCTTTGTTTGAGGATTCCTGCCCTGGGAGGGGTTTGGACTAAAAATTCCCTCATGGTCCCTTCCAACCTTATGATTCTAAACATAATGATATAATAAAAAGCAGTAGAATAAGCAAAGTCCCATATCAGGATAAACCATCCACATCAGGAGAAACTGAAAAATTTCCCTTATCCCCAAAGGCCTGTTAAAGAACCAGGGCATAATGTCATTTTGGAAAACTGGCAGGTTTAGGTCCAATATGATACCAGAGGAAATGCTGCTATGTCTGCCGAGACAGTGCTGAATCACCTATTTGACATTTCTATTTGAAATTATAAATTTTGCTGAAGTAGGCATTTCTGCTGCTTTATTTCTCTTTTCCCTGGTCTTGTTTAATGCTTATCATTATTTGTGGTTCTTTGACCCCAGGATTTCACATAAGAGTGGTTGCCATTTTTCCTTTCTTCCAGATTTAGCTACATAGGAATCAGGGATCAGATACAGTAGTCCTCGGTTAATGACTGTCCTGTCTAGTGACCGAACTTATAATGGTACTGAAAAAGTAGCTTTATGATCAGTCCTCGAATTTACAACTGTTGCAGTGTCCCCACAGTCATGTATTCACCATTCTGGCACTTGCAACCAGTGCACATTTATGACAGTCACAGTGTCCCGTAGTCATGTCATCGCCATTTATGAGCTTCACAGCTGGCTTCTGACAAGCAAAGTCAATGGGGAAACTGGCAGAAAGTTGCAAGTTATGGTCATGTGATGTCATGCTTAACAACCAGAGGTGATTTGCTTAACAACTGCAGCAGAACTGACATTGTAAGTCTGGCATGGTCATGTGACGTTTCACTTAATTTCCACGTCGCTTAGCGACAGAATTGCTGGTCCCAGTTGCAGTTGTTAAGTGAGACTACCTGTAGTAAACAATGCTTATAGCCCTTGGTAGACTTTGTACCTACTACCCATGAAGGATTAAAATACAGTGAGGATATGGGCCTACATACAAGTCATACCACCCAACCCACCTTAGAAATTTGGGAAAAAATGTGCTGGATGGTCATTTTATTTACCAGAATATACATTTTGTATCCATAGGCATGTACCACTTTCAAATTGATGGGATCCTGTATCAATTTATTAGGCTGACAGTGATGGCAGGGTATGGTCTAAAAATATATTTCATGCATCTGATTCCAACAGGTATTGAAAGACTGAACAAAGCTAAAAGCTGAAATATTATAGTTTTCTCTCCTATCTTTTAGATTAGGATCCATGGGTGCCATGTGCTCTGGTTAGACTCTTGAATTGCCTTGGCACTGATTTTGGACAGTGATGTATATGAGCGTCTCCAGCTTTCATGAAGGAAAAACTTTGTTGGCAACTTTTCCCCAAAACTGTCTCATATTTGCTTCAAAATACCTTTTTATTGTCTGAGACTTTTTAGTTTTAGCATTCATTAAATGTTGCTGAGGGCTCTGTGTTGTGTGCCAGTTCTATTATTATGTGCTTTTATTGTTGTGGTACTTTAATTATGTAAGGTGCTTTTGAACCCATTTTGGGGGAAAATGTGGTAGAAATAATTGAAGAGGGAAATAAATTGTTCTGGCTGGTAAGGACCAGAATAGCTTCCCATAAATGATGTTTTATTTTCAAGATTGGGCATATGAAAAACATTCTTCACCCCACCCCCCTTGACATATTTAATGTCTGTTATATCCCACTTTATGCTTGCTTGCTACAAAAACTGCGTAGAATTCATACCCTCTTCTGTGGGTGGAAAAAGGGCTCCCATAATTCTTTTCCCATGTTCTCTCACCCAAAGTGTTTTATGTTGGACATACTTAGCCATTGGTTCCTTTTCACCTCCCATGTAACCAAAGATTTGATGTTGTTTTCTCAAATTTAATGGTACATCAATAATAATAATAATAATAATAATAATAATAATAATAATAATAATAATAGGAATAGATGGAGAATAGGAAACTTTGTGATACAAAATATTTGTCTATCTAGTTGAATGCTATCTAAATTAGACACACTGAGAATTGAACCTGGGATCTTTAGAATTCAAAGGTGATCTTCTATCACTGTATAATGATAATTCTTCAAAAGATGCAACAGGTGAGTAGCCCTTATGGCTGCATTAAATAACAAGTTCCTTCTATCATCATTTGTCTCTTCTAATGGGCAACAACTCTCCTGGATTTTAGACATAGATATCTGTAGGGGGCCAAACATGTGATGCAAAGTCTGCCTCTTAAATATTGTGTGCAATATCACAATGCCAGTACAAAAGGTCATAGCTTGTATTGGGATGTTATAAGATGTTTTGCTATTTTGGCATTGTGTTAGTTAAGAATAAGTATCCATGATTTAGGCAAATAAGGGTGTTTCCCATCCTCTAATTCCATTTACTGTGGTTGTTTGGGAATAAACTTGGACTAGTTTAGAGGAAAGGAAACTGTGTAAAGTCTAAAGCTTTGCATGAAATTGGGCACTTGCTGACTAAGAAGGTAAAGACTACTGCTTAAACTGCTCTTTCAGCAGAATTTAACAACGCTGACCCATATTAATACATCCAACATGGTTCCTTCAAAAGCTTGTTTATTTGTAGTTGACTGTAAAACACAATTATATGTGCTGTACTACTAAAGTGTTCACTCTATAAAAGGCAGCATTTTAGGGATACAATAACAACAAAAACAACAATACATATATAAATTGCACAAGGTAGCAAGTTTGATCTTAAAAGTTTACAGTGATTTTTTTTCCTTCAACCATATTTCCAGAAGCCTTGAAAATTGTATTTGTACAAGAGATCTGATATCAAATAAAAGAAAGACACATACACACAGAGGGAGATAGAATACTTCATAATCTCGGTACACGCTGCATTGTTTACTTTGCTTTTATACAGCTCCAACTGGGTGAAGGAGGACTTTCTAGAGGATTGTGTTGAAAACATATGACAAATAATTTTCAGGGGGATCATCCGTTTTCATTCCTAGGCTCTCAGTCTGGGTTATCAATTTGATATAAACCACAAGATTGCTTTTCTGATAGTGCAATCCTCTAAAACAATATGATACAAATGGCATAGTAGAAAGGCAAGGGGGTGCCTATTTTCTGAGCAAGGACTCCATGGTGTGCTGATACCTTTGGAATATCTAGATCTTTGTAGGTGTTCTGTGTCCATACAGAGACTCACCCAACTTACATGAATCACCATACATGAGCACTGTAGCCGATGCTAATATGGACAGAATATGTGGACCCAAGAGACAGAATTTGGAGGAACCAATATTGTGCATTTTGCTTGTATTACCTTTGCTTATTTAAGTCATCATGATTCACATGAATGAGTCTTGGCTCCCCTAAGGGTGTGGGTCTGTTCAAATGCTAGCTCCAGTGTAGTGTCCTGGAACACAGGAAGAATTTCTGTGATGAAGCTCATATATACATATTTATATAATCACAATTCCTTCTTGTGGTGGTTGTGACAATGATAATTATAACCTGCCATATCTCTCTGAAATTTATTTATTTTTTGCTGACAGGTCACATTCATAAAATATCAATGCTTTCTTCTCCACCAGTAATTAGTCTTCCATTGGCTGTTTTCCCCCTTTTCCTGTTAATTTTAAACATCTTATTTGCTTTGTATATGTAATATTGCAAGATTTTTAGGAAGTGTTTTCATATGGCCAATCAATTGACCCAAAGCATCAACCGAATTTGGAGTTTTCATCAGAATAATGAAACATGCAGTGATATCATGACACTAACTGTGCCCTTTACATTTATGTGTTCAACATCATAAAAAGGCTAGAGTTTGTGTTGTGAAATTGCAATGCATATTTTGTCATTTGTCCTCCCCTTGGACACCCATGCAGTTGGCAATCATGTTTCTCTGATTTGCTTGGGAGTAAATGGCTTGCTCCATCTGCTGTGAACGGCATCAAAACTGCCACACTGTTCTGACTTCCAGGGGGCAAAGACATACAAACTGTCAATGGATTGAATTCTCCCCCTTTCTCTCTTTTGTCCAAAACATGCCTTAGTTAGGATAAGAAAGAAATGACTGACCCAAAGAAAAGTTGGAGTATTAATCATTAATTACAGAATGTACAAATGAAGTAGACTCAGCGCATTCTACCACATGACTGGTCTACTAGACCAATGTCATCCTGCTGAAGTTACCCAGAAATGTAACTGAAAGACAGTAATTAATTAAGGACTAGGTTGTAATATTTGGTCTGCTTTTCATTTATTTACAGAACATTTATGCTATAAAATTGGCAATTCCATCATTATCTTTCTTTGAAGCAAAGTGTCAAAAAGCACCAGTAGTGGTTAATGGGACTACGGTTTAGTTAATAATGTCCATTACAGATGATAAAGGAACCAGTTCAATATGCTACTTTCCCAGTATTCATATGGAATTATGGGAAATGTTGATCAAGGAATTGGGGAAATATATTTTTAAAACAATAAGGCTTAATACATCTTTGGCTTAATAACTATTCATTTAAAATAAGATTTAGAAAATGAATTAAGTGCCTCAAAAAGTTCAGAGACAATTAGAACTCATAAAAATAAAGGAAAACAAAAACACAGAAGAAATATTTATATTCTCAAGTGTTTCATTACAATAAGAAGTGGTAACTTCTTCAATATTTAAACTGTATTCCAGAAAGAATTTGATGAAGTAAACAAGGGAGCAGATAAAACATTCAGCTTGGTAAAAGGAACCAACTTAGAGGATACATGATAGCAGAACAGTAGTGGTTTAGAAATTCACAATATTATCTGATAACAAGCCAATTTTAGTTTTATATATGAAATGCTATTGAAAACCATTTTTCTTCCTTAAAGCAAGGAATCAGAAAGCAACATACAAAAATAAAATGTAGCTCCAGACTCCTTTTAAATATAAATCCTTATCAATAGAAGCCTATTGTCTCCATTACATTTAAAATCAAACGTTCAATTCTCTTTTGTCTATAAACTGCCCTACATTTTTCACTGGACAGCTTACATGAGAAATGAGTTAGTATGTGTGTGCACTTAACAAATACAGAATACACACACTCATACAGAGTAATTGGAAAATATTGTCAGTCAAGGAACTTTCCTATTAAAGGTTCAAAACCACAGGAAACTCTCTATCCTGTAGCTTCTTAAATCCTTTATCAACAGCCAGGAACTAAATGAATATTATTAATATTGTATAAACCCAATAAACATTTGTTTTGCAAAACCAAGTAAGGCTCAAGGCATTAAATTATCTATTCAAAATACAATTCCGATTATTTTTTTTTAAGTCCCAGATTACAGTTAGCCATGGCAACTACTGATAGCAGTTAAGTAATATTACTTTGTGTAATATGAAGAATATTGCATTCTCTATGTACTTAAAATTATACTGATCTTTAAATCTGCTCTTCAGAAGCCATAACTAGAAGTCAACTAGAAGAGATTTGGATCTCATCTTTGTTGTGAAAGTGCTGTTTCGGCCATGGTCCTGCATTTGAAGTATAAAAATATTGATTTACCAGTTATTGTAAAGATTGCAGCTAAATAATATTGTGCAGAGCTTCCAATTTGAAAGCAAAAAGATGCCAAGCACATGTTTGTATCCTCATGTGTTTGAAGCATCTTATTGACTTCACACTTGAAGCTTTGCACAGCTTTATAAAAAGCATATGAAGCACTTTGAACTCTTGAGAGCGATATACTAGTCTTCGATCTACAGTTTTTCTTGACTACAGTTCCTATTCCTATTATCCCCAGCTATTTTCGACAGTTTGGCCTATAGTTCATGGACTAAAAGCAGGCTAGATATTACAACCCAAGGCAGCTACAGGAAACCAGTTTGGGGGGAAGGTTATGTCATATAAATGCCAAGCTTTGTTATTTAGAACTACTTTCATGTGAACCAGTTTAAACACACAAGCGGATAAAATATTATATAAAATGGGAGAGATGGGGAGAAAAGCAGAAATCACAGATCCAACTTCTGGATCTGCTGGTAGTTATCACTACACCAGATACATTTTACTAGGAACATAGGATTTTTAATTAGATAGCTTGCTTCTTTATGCCTAGAGTTCCGTGTTCTTGCTAGGAGTGGGCAAAATGTTGATTTGAAATATGTTTTGAACTTGAAATTGGTTATTCCAGATTCACAGCAAGCTATTCCAAATATACTACAAACATTCTCAGTTTGAAACAGTCCTGTAGGATGGAACAGACCATTTTGAACTCAAACTATGTAATTTGAAAAAAATGTGCACACTACATGGCTTGTCTAAACCAGATTGACATGGAATCCAGATGTGAAGAGCTTGTGAATTAGTTGAGTGGATATAATACTTCCTTTCAGCACAAATCCAGCTCTTCTCCTCCAACTTGAGGTCCTCCATATGTGTTGGACTACTCCCAGAATTCTTAGTTTGATTCCAACACATCTGGAAGGAACCAGCTTGGAAAAGTTGCTAAAGCCCAAAAGATGCATCTATTTACAGGGCTGGGGAAGAATCTTTCTGATCTAGACAGCAACAATTCTAGGAAGTTCTTCTGAAACTCTAAAATGGGAAGTATGCTTATCTTTAGACCACTGCCTGAAAAGTAGTATGGCTCTTGAGAATAGATTGACCCTATTCTAACTATATTCTAAAATGTTTGGTGACAACTTTGCACACCAATAAAAGCTGATCATTTGAATGAATATCAGTGTGGTATTTTGGAACTTGTGCTTTGAGGAAACAAGCCCAGTTCTGGGAAGAGTAATTCATAAATCTATGCAAATAAGCAGATTATAAATGGATCCTAGCACACCAGGATCCACCTTGCTTAATATACAAGCTTGCTTGCTGTGCTCTGCTGTAATGCATATATCTAGGTATGAATGCCTGTATTGCTAGATGCAGTCTTTTAATTCTATTGCAGCACCAGGGTTCTGTAAACCTAATACACCTGTATTTGTTGGACTTTGGTGGTTCTATATAAACTGAATTAGCCATTTTGCATATACAGGATTCCTTTTTCCTTAATTTACACTGTAAGTGTGCTTAAGTGTGTTTGTGCAAAGAATTTTGTGCAAAGGTATTGTGAGTACATGCACGCATGAAGAATTTTAAAAGCCAACTAAGAATTCAGCCAAAAGAGTGCTGCCATCATGCAGGTAGATTTCATTGTAGGCATGAAAAATCCAGCCCTTGAGTTCACTTGTTTTCTAACACTTAATCCCAGATTTGCATTCAGAGTTGTCAATCTGCTTTATTAATGGTAAGCTGTCATGGCACTTAGCACTTTAAATCAAAAGGCTATGGATGCAGGCTTTTAGCAAAGTTCGGTGGTCACTGGGCAAATCAGCATGGACAGCTCCTTCTTCAAGAGAAAGAGGTCCTTTAAGTTGCGAATAAAACCAGGTTCTCTGCTTTTATCGCGGTGGCCTTGCACTGCAGACACAGTCGCAACGTTCATGGTGCTCCAATTGAATATCAATCAGTGCCATATTGTTCTTGGTTCTGCCCCTCCTCCTGAGATGACCTGCTTCAGGGATAAATCTCAGCACCTAGGTAGGTAAAGAAAGAATCAGAAGGTAATTAGAATAAGGTAAGAACTTTCTAGGTACACCTCATCTCAATAATGTGAAAAGGTAATAATGTCCTTCTTCAGCATTTGATTACATATGAGTCTTGTGCATGTCTAGTCAGAGTTAAAAGGAAGCTTTTTTCCCAGCAACTTTCATCTAGTATCCTCCAGGTGTTTTGGAAGTACAGGAAAGGACAAGCTGTGGCTGTAGGACCACCTGAATCCCTTGGGTTAATTTCAAGGTAATTTCATCACTTGGGAGGTGATCAGTTAGAATCTTTAGTAAAAGTGATTTGTCTCTTCCCTGGTAATCTGCTTAGGAGAGCAGAAGAGGGAGAAAGGAAAAAGGAGGAGAAGAAAAGAAAGAGAGAGAAGAAGGTAACTGGGAGAAAAAAATGAGGAACAAAAAGAGAAAGAGAAATGGTGCTCAACCTCTGCTTGAAGCATGTGACCCCCCACAGAAAATGATAGGAAGAGACAGAGAAGATGCTTATTGTAGCTGTAACGAGTTTAAAACTTCATCATTTTCACTAATCATTTCACTAATCCCTTCTTTGGGATGTAAATAGTGCAAATTAGTAGTGGAACTGATTCCTTAGTGGAATAGTGGACTCTTCTTTGCTGGAAGCATTCAAGTCTGGAAGTTTTCATCTGGATTCCTGCACTGAATAAGGGACTAAACTTGGTGGTTTCATAAGCTCCTTCCAACCCTATGATTTTAAATGGCATGACCAGTCTTGGAAAACAATACACCTCCAAAAGGAAACTGTGTAGCTGAAAAGAAGATGGACAAGGGTAACCAAAATGGTCAAGGGGGTGGAACAATTCCCCTATGAGAAAGATTACAGTTTTTGGACTGGTTATAAGGGGGAAGAGAATATGGGGAAAAGGAGGCATGAAAGAATTTACAACTTTATGTCTGATGAACGGAAAGTAGAGGGAGAAATCAGTGAAGGTGGGCATTAGCAATCATCAATACTGTAAGATGTGTGGCACCAATTCCAGGTCTCATGAATTACTATAGTAAATAAACATGGAGCCCCTAAGAAAGCATTCTTCTCATAATCTCTTAATAAGTCAGAGTCCATATCACTCCTGAATGTGGAGCCACGTTAATAACACTGAGATGGAAAGCACAACTGCTAAGCCAGATACCAGGTTTATAGGAATATAAAATATTATGATGCCCTTATAAGTTCCCATAGAACTGACAACATAGGAGAAAGAGAAAAATGTGAGCCTGTCCAGAATTTCTGCCTTGTGACTCTACTGAAAGGGTTTTGGTTCAGTACTTTCCCTTAGCGAAGAATACTCTGGACTTGAAATACAAACTCCAACATAATTTATATGGTTTATATTTCTGTGCCTTAAAAAAAAACAAAAAAATCCTTTTTGATCTGCTAGTAAGGGTTGAGCAGTCCCCTGAATGAATTGCTGATTTTTAAAATGAAGTTTATATGGAAATAAATTAAATTTAAGGCAGAGAGTTGAAATTGTGTTGAGGGTTGTGGTTTATCATTAGGGATGGAGGATCAGGCTATTTCCTGTTACCTTAGTTTCAAGCTATTTACTTTCTCCCATTCCTGTATTAATATATCTGTGGCAACCTCCATTTTAAAGGACTTTTTCCCACCAAGAAAAGTATGTGAACCTTATTTTGTTAATATTACATAAGCAAGATGAAGAAGTACTGTTTTGATGTCTCTTTGGCCTTTAGTGAGGAGTCTATATTCCATCTTTGCTCTATATGACTATTTTCTTTCAAGGCTGCTGGCACTACCCCCTTCTGAAGTGAGGATCCTCTCCTGGATCCAAACTTGGTCTTCCTGAGCCAGATGGCTGGAACAAGTGATGGAGCATCCTACCCATTAGATCCACTGGCCAGAAGGAGTCCCAGATAACTTGGTAAGGCATTTCATTTCAACACAATGGATCTGCCCATGAAGAGTCAAAAAGCTTTGGTGAACCTGAACAACTATCAGGAAAATGTTGTGCTATAACTGGTCACAGCAATCAGGCAGGAGATCTACTGTGTTGCCCTTTCCTTAAAATGGAGTTGGCCACCACAAACAAGGCTGATGGAGAGCATCACACTGACTCAATAAGGAAGGACAAGTATATCCGTAAAGATGCTGTTTTAGTCACATGTGCTTAGTAAATTAATGTAATATATTGCTTATGAACATTTTGGAACATGTAAGATTGAAAAATGGATCATCAAACTGAACAATTCAGAAGACTGACTACATCCTAAACTACACATTATTTCAGTATTGGCCAGTTTCCTTCGAGATCTGGAATAAACAGAACCCTCATCCATTCATAATTAGGGATTCCAGGGTTATAGAATTTATAGTATTCTATAGAGTTCTGGTAGTTACCCTTTCATCTTTCCTTCAGCTATTGTATATATAGGGATACAAAATTCATTTATTTATTTATTTCAAGATTTAGAAGGCTGCCCAACTCAGACAGTGTGACTTTGGGCAATGTACAACCTAAGCACACAATAAATCAAAAAGAAGAAAAAAATGAAACAAAGAAAACCATCTAACAACAAACAGACAATATATAAATACAAAATATAAAATGTAAAATGGCGACTAAGCAGACAACAAAACAACAGGGGAGATTCCCACTCTACTGGCCCCAAATGCTGATTATATCATACAGACAACTATGGACATTTCCCTTGGCTCTATTCCACTCCTTACTCTTCTCTGATGCTTCTCTCACTCCCTTAGTCCTCCAGGATGCTGTCAGCCCTTCCAGGTAAACCAGATAGGAAACACAACAAGGACCTAATTCTACTTTATTGCAAGGCTACATTGAGAGAATCTTGCTAGTTTGAAAGTACAAATCTCCCACCATCCCTGTTTACCGCCTGAGTAGTTAAGGTGGGTCCTTCCTAAGTTTCTTTCTCTGTCTGTTACTCTGTTGTGGATTCCTTTTCCTTTTATTTAATCTTTCTCTCAGAGGCATCTCTTCCCCCATTTTCCAAGGTCACCCTCCCATTCCATCACGGATGCTCCTTACAATCCACAGCTTACCCTTTTCCTCCAGATAGGTAGGAACATTTTCAGAGGGCCTCAGCTTTCCATTTGTATTTTCTATGAATACCTTTGGGACCTGAATAGGGCATGCTGGCATTGCAATATGTCAATTTACTATTTATTTATTTTTAAATTAAAGACCAGTGGCTTCCAAGACAACTATCTACAAGCACTTTCATATGCAGAGATTTCTATCTTTCTTAGCCATAATGTAACTGTGACTTGCCTTTCGCTTGCAGCCTGGCTCCTTCCAAACCTTTGAATGCCTGACATCAGGTAATAGCTACATGGATAATAACTAGCATATCAGCAGTCAGGTTTCTCAGCTTGCCCTTTCCCCTCTTAAAATATTAGGAAAAGGGATTCTCATCTGCTGTGCACACAATAGGAATTCTGAAGTCCCTTGTGGACCTGGCACGTTCTCCTTTCTGAATGGTTCAGTTGGTTCTAAGACACAAAGGAGGACCATGTCATTTACCCCTGTGACTCTGCTGATAGTTATAAAAAAGTGGCTGGATTAATGTGGAGCAAAGGTAGTGAAGAACAGTTAGCTTTAGACTTTTTTTAAAAAAATAATCTTTCCTGGGCTAATATCAGTCTTGCCTTTGATATATCCAAAATAGATTTATCTTCACAAGGTCTATGAATACTAAAGTTCAAATTGGCACTCATTATACTGTTAATTCAGCTCTATAGGGTACCTTTAAATTTACAAAAGCCAGGTCATTTGAAGCTGAAGCTAGAAGAGTGTCCTTGGTTAATTTTGGTCTGTGGTATCATAAGAATGGAAATAGCATAATGGCACATTTGGTAAGTGAATTTCCTTTACTTTTTATATAAGGCTCTTGGAATGTAGGCCTTTCCACATTGCTCTGGTGATATAATCTTTCAGCTGTTACTATCTGATACGTCAGCAGGCAACAGAAAATTCACTAGGATTTATCATAAATTATATTAAATTCTGGCTGCTAGGTAAGTATTCCATCTCCATTACAGAGCTGGTATATTTATTTTTCCTTATGCTGTCCATGCAATAAATCCATACTGCTTTTAGAAATTTCTCCGCATCTCTAGCCCAACCAATCTGTACAATACCAGTTGTCTGAGTTTTAAAATGCATTCACTAAGACTACATCTTGCTCTTAAAATGGTCCACCAATCACATCCCCAGAAGAGGAGCATTGGAGCATGGTGGCAGTATTTGCCCAGCTGCTGCTCTGCAAGGTTTTTTTTTTAAATTTATTTTTATTTTATTTTATTTATTTATTTAAACCACCCTGCTCCCAAAGGACTCATGGCAGTTTGCACTTAAAAACCATGACACCCTCTGAAAAGAATGTATTAATAATGATAAAATCATTACTAAAAATATAAAACCCATAGTAATGTCTGGGCTACCCAAATGACAAAATTCTTATCCCTCAAATGCCTTCTTGAGCACCTGCATTTTGACAGCTTTTCTGAAAGTTATGAGAGAGGACAACATCCGGATCGCCAGAAGAAGACTTTTCCAGAGGGTTGGTGCCATACCTGAGAAGCACTGATCTCTTGCTGTCCTCTAAATCTGCTGCAGGAAGTGATCCTTCTATATTTTTACCTGGGACATGCATACTGGATGGACAGATTTAGTTTGAAGTAAAGGGGCCAGGGTGGTTGAGGAACTCAAGCCCATGCTTTTTTGTCCCCCCATACTTGTCCAAACAGCCAGAAACAAGACTAGGAGACAATTGATATAATGAATTCTTCCCTTACAGTATTACTCCAATGCATATAGAACAAAAGAGACATTTTCTTATGTTTCATCTCATGAGGAGGAGCACAAATTGCCACTCTTCGCCTGCAATTTACAGTAGTACCAGAATGACCTGACAACCCCAATTATACTCTTTGCTGACATGAGACCCTATCTTGACTCCATTCCATTATTTAAATGGTCATATCCCTCACATTTTTTTTGGAAAAAAAAAACCCACTGAATCAGCTGTCATAGTGTTTTGGTATAAAAAATTCATAGTGATTTTGTCTTTATAGAAGAAGTGTATTTATATGACAACTCCAGCTTGACTGACATTAGTAAATTTCAGTGCAGGTAACAATGATTTGGGAGAAGTGCCAGTATTCTAGGAAGGAGGAAAATATGTTTCTTCAGCCAATCAGAACCATCCAAATTTGCATCTACTTACTGATGCAGGAAACACAGTAAGTTAGCTTGAGAAAATATTAATGAGTGTCAGACACTCTATCACTATGCCAAAAGGCAAGGTGTCACCCCACCAAGAGGTGGAGTTTGCTAAGAATCATGACAAGGAAAAGCTCAGTAGATAATGAAAAGATGGTGTGCTTGGAATAGGGGCTAAATCCAGGAAATGACTATGACCCCTGGAATCCAGAGAAGGCTTCAAGCTTCTTGGAGCCTCCCCCTGCTTTAGAAGAGAAATTCTAGCAGGACATGAATGGGCACCTTCATAATTTGGATTGTTTAAAGATTGACATTGCCCTAGCTTTCCTGTAGAGACTTAATAAATAAGTGTTTATTATTCCTAATGTATTTTAGATCTTGGAGAACCAATCTGGTGTAGTGGTTAAGGCACCAGGCTAGAAATGGGGAAACTGTGAGTTCTAGTCCTGCCTTAGGCCCAAAGTCAGCTGGGTGACCTTGGGCCAGTCACTCTCTCTCAGCCCTAGGCAAAAACTTGCCAAGAAAACTGCAGGGAGTAGTTCAGGCAGTCGCCGGGAATCAACGCTGATTTGAAGCCATGTATACATATATAAAATACATATTTTATACATACACACACATGGCTTTTCGTCAAAGCTCTTCTTAAGATGAAGAGCTTTGAAGAAGCATGTGTGTGGAAGAAGTAGACTACAAGGAGACTGCACTTAGAAATCTTACTTACCTTCAGCCTAAAAAAGACAATGGCAGTTTACATACAGACATTTTAAAAAGACACAAAAAGCAAGGTACCTCGTGATACTTCTTCACCAGTTTTCCTGCTGTGCAAGCACATTTCCCGTGTGTAGAGCCGCAACCACAGTTTCCTCCACAGCGCTGGACAAGGAGACAGCGAGGAAAGAAAACCGCATGGGTATGCTTCAGCTCCTCCCGAACGTTGACCGAGTAATTCCTTGGAGTGCAGCTGTAACGTTTTGCCTCATCGTTCAGCCTGTCTAAATCAACTGAAATAGGCAAAAGGGAATGAGGAGGAAAAAGAGAAACTGTACTTATAAATAACATACCTGTTCCCCATAGAAGTCAGTGAATCAGTTAATCTCTGGCCTAAATTAATTTTGCAAATTTTTATCACAGTTCAGCCCCTGCCTCCACCAGATGGCCATGCAGATCTTTGAACGGGTGCTTTGTTTGATGAAAGCATAAGCAAAACCTTCCCTTAAATAAATACAAAGTATTTATTTTAAAAAGAAAAGAAAAAAAAATACATAGAAATTACAAAATACAAATATTCGCATGGAAACGCTTGCAGAATAATATAAGATAAGATTAAAAGAAAGTAGAAACTATTCAATTGGATGAAACACCTCACTTTTATCTTTATATATCAGTTTGGATTAAAATAATATAAAGGTGTGTTCACGACAGTTTAACATTTTTAACGCTTTCAAAACTGCTTTATTTAGCTATTATTAATATCAAATTTTAGATTACCTGAGAGACTGATATAATAAAAAAATAAGCAATTACAATTAAAGCATTTAGAACCCTTATTTTAAGAGAGCCCAAATCTCAGATATGGCACCAACCCATATATACAATTATACTTTATAAGTGGCTTCCCGATTAAGTTGAAGCTAACATTAAACTTCATTTTCACATATAGAGTTATTTTAGACACTGATTCATACTCCCGTAGTTTAAGCTACCATTCCTCTAATGAAGAACTTAAATGTGATTTCCACTGCAAAGCCTAAAATATCTTGGTGGCAGTTATCGTTTATAAACCATGCTCATGTATTTTGTAGGTATATCAGCTTTAATAAAAAAAAAAAAAACTGATGGAAAAGGAAAGTCAACATTTATGATTTGTTTCATCCTATATTAGATCATCTTCCAGAATAGTTGAGCTTTATAACTTTGTCACCACCTAGGGTAAAAAGTTCCAACTTGATTTTTACATTTCTAACAATTTTCTGAATAGGTATTGTTATGCCTAGCAATCATCACTGGGATAACATACCAGAGGAAAAACATCTATCAATTTTCTCTTAATGTATTATTTGCAGTGAATTTAATGCTTGTTTTCCACTGATAATCCCATTGTGGGATATAAATTGTTCTGTTTAAGTTCTGCATCCATTTGATCATGAAAACTTTAACCTGTTCAGTCTCCAAATCATATTTCAGTAGTAACTTATATATAAAGTGTTATGTATTGTGTGTTACAAGTATTTCAAATTCAGCCAAGTATCTGAGCTTACAACCTTTTTAAAAAATTCCATCTGAACTATACTGCTCATTTGGAGATAATGAAACCACAAAAGTACATCTGATCATTCTAAGGAGTGTATCTTGAATGACTTCATTTTTGCTTTTTAATAATTGAATCTTGCAGATTATAACAGTTTTGTCAAATTCTTTACCACATTCATGAAATATATATTTAATACTGAAGCCAGAGGAGATAAGTCTGGACTTTTGAACTTGTCCCATCCTTTTATTAAGCTACAATATTTCTAATAGAGTGATTTCTTATACTTGCAACACTTTTTTCGTCTTTCATATATTTCTTTGGAACAAATTCTATCCTATCAGAGTGTATTAGGCTTGCTAGAAGATTATTTAGTTTTCCTGCCAGGGTGGTCTTAAAAAGTTTATAATTAACTTTGAATAAATCGGTCTGCATGACTCAACACCTTCCTTTAAAACGTCCCTGAAAGTACTGTGGCAAGCTGCTTCTAACTAGTAACAAGGGACATTTAGGCCATTGAATCCAGTTCCTGGCTAAGGGGAGGATTCCAAAATACAGCATCCCAGACTAGAGATCTCTAGCTTCTCCATTAACACATTCAGTGAAAGGGAATCCATCAGCTTTCTGGGTAACTGATTCATTGTTGTACTGTTCATCCTGTTATGAGGAGATTCCCCACCCCATCCCCCAACAGTCAGAATCCACCTTTCTGTAACTTATCGCATATCCTGTCCTCTGGGGTCTTAACCTTCAGGTATTTGAAGAAAGCTTCCACAGGTCCCCCCCTTTAGTCTTCTCAAGGTTAAATATTTCCAATTCCTTCAATTACTGTTCAAGGACTTAATTTCCAGTCCTTAATTGTCCTTATTGTCATCTGAAGTTCTTCCAGTTCGACTGAATCCATCCCAGGATTCAGCACAACACTTGAGGGGGAGTTTGGACAAGGCAGAAGAGAATATAACCATTAGTTCCTGTAATTTGGGAGCACTTTCTATTTATGCATCCTAAAATTATATTTACTTTTTTTGCAGCCACATCACATTCTTGACTTAAGTTCAGTCAACTATGATCTCTTTGACTCCAAAAGATCAACCTTGCTTATTCTTTTTGAGTAATAGCAAAATATTATTATTATCCCATGATATGAAAATGTCCTGAGCAGCTAAGAATAAGCTGAAGTACAAAGAATGAATGGAATTCCCTCTCCCTCCCCCCACGAGTTGCAAATATAGCTGTGTTTGAGAACTTTGAGAACTGCCCCCCAAACACATGGGCGGCAAGCATGCCAACTGCTGGTAGGAAAGAATCTTTGGGCTGGAAATTGCAGCTCAGAGTCTGCTTTTCTCTACTGGAACCAATTCAAAGTAAGTGAAGTTTTCTCTTGAGTCAAGCTCAGTTTCTGGTGAATTCATGGATATAATTCATACTTTCCTTGGCAGTAACACACTGAGCAAGAGCCAATGATTTCTTTCAACTCTAGGTCACTCCATTTACAAGCAGAGGTACGTGCTGCTTGCAAGAAAGCATAAAAATGCATGAATGGCTTAGTCATGGGTCTGGATTGGCCCAAAATTAGTTAAGTTGTGTGGGGGGGAAAGTTAACTATAATACATAGAATTCCCATTCTGATCTGTCTAGTGTCCTTTCATTCTTTAAAAACTGAATGATTTCTTATTTTCTAGGTCAGCATATGATGTTATACTTCATACATTTTGTAATAAGTGTACAAATAAATTTTGAAGTACTTTTCTATTATTAGTAACAAGTGACAAAATCTTGGCAGTGATTCTGACGTGCAGACCAGCAATGATGTTACTTTCTATTGTCCATCCTACATGATTTGGTTTCATTAAATATCCATGGGCTTCAAATAATGTTAGGTTACTAACTGATATTTTATATACACATTCAGAAAAGTTAGAATCAACCATGGTGATTGATACGGTGCAGTTCATATTTGGGAAAGTTTTTGGACAAATATGAATTTCCTTCTTTTTGTACTGAAGTCCTTTTGCTAGTATTATTATACATGGAATTATTTCCTCACCTATCAAGAAGTCTTGTCAGATTCATAAAAGATATCCTTTGACTTTTAGTATATTTAATATGACATTGGAGCTATTGATCTATCTTATTAGGCAATCAAAAGGTATTGTAATCATCAAATGGTTGGATTTGAACACAAGTTGTTATTTTTAAGCTGATGATATATTAGGTCTTATTGATAAGCATGAATGGTTTATATCAATATTTATTGATGCAATAAAGTACTAGGTTACTCAGTTGAAGTCACATATCGTTATGATCAGCTCTAATATATCTATGGAATTTGCCAAAAGTTGGGGTTTCATTTGGGGTTTGAAGTCTTTTTAAATATATTGGAATAGTTATCTAAAAGAAAATATCTTTGGAGAGGTAACTATTTGAAACTGTTTATTTCAGTTTAATGATAACATCAACAAATGACTGAAAGGGGGTAATTGAAGAGGGGGTAGTGGTTAAGGGACATTGTTAAAGTGGTTCTTTGTAGGCACTTTGGAATAAACAGGATGCCACATGTTAAGAAGTCAATGGCTAAGATTCTTTAAAAAATATTAAACGTGTTTCTTATGTACTCAAAATGTGATTCATTCAACAAAATATTTTTTCTCACATTTATTGTATGCCTCAAAGAATATTTAATGTGAGTTAATTGTCTTTTTTAATTAGAATTTTTATTAAAATTTTTCAATTCAATAAAAGTATACAAAATTAAAAGTTTAGGAAAAAAAGGAATATAGAAAATAAGAAAAAGAAAAAAGGAAAGAAAGAAAAAAAAAAGAAAGCTTAGAATTATGACTTCTGACATTCTTTCTATCAAGTAATTGCCATTTTTTTCTTTTCCCTTCCTCTTTGACCCATTTAAATCCCCAAATCTATAAATCATCAATTCAGTCTTTTCTTCTTTCAACAAAAAGTTCGTATAAGACTTCCATCTTTTAAAAAAGTCTTTACTGTTTTTTCCCTGACCAAACTGGTCAGCTTTGCCATTTCTACAAGTTCCATTAATTTTATAATCTAATCTTCTACTGTGGGTATTTCATTATTCTTCTATCTTTGTGCATACAATAATCTTGCTGCAGTTACCATATACAATATTAGTTTCCCATATTTCTTTTCTAGTTCATCATCCATAAAATCCAATAAAAATAATTCCCGTTTCATTGTAATATTAATCCACAATATCTTTTGCATCATTGTATGAATTCGCACCCACCAAAGTGGGTTAATTGTCAAATTAGCTAACTGGAAGTGTAAAATGATAAAGAAGACACTTATGCATATGGTATGGGTTTGCCTCATGATCATCCTCTTTTGGTTTAATACTCATATTTTTGCTAATATGGTTTTCAGAAGAGTAATATGTTGTAAAAATGTAAAAGTGATTCTGAGTTACATACCCAAAATTTGGAGTTTATCATTATATGAAGAACTATAGATTTATCAAGCATGGGAGTAGCAAAAAGATTATTCTGCAATGGAAAAACAATACCTTATACTTTGAATTGATAATATGAGTTTATGATTTGTCTCTCTATTAATGTAACAGAAAGACTGGTAAGTATTACTTTGTCCTTATTCTTTCTTTTTTCAATTTTTCCTCTTTCATTTTGATGTGTGTGTGCTTTTAAAATACTTTGAAAAGCATATTAAAGGAAGAGAGAAAGTGGGGTGAGTTCCAGAATTTTACTTTGTAAGTGAATTACTGTTTGG